TAAGACAAGCAAGAGACCTGGCAGGGGCCGCAGCTGCAGGATGTGGTCCAGGCCAGGGCAGAGCCAGCTATGTCATTGCTAACTCTTTTCCTCTTACCATATCTACCATAGCAAATCCAACATCTCCACCATGACACAAACACACCCCTCTGACTTTCGCCACTGGCCACACAACAGAGACTCATCTCACCTGTGGTACCCAAAGGGAGCTTACCAGTGTCAGCCCCCTAACATTCAAGAGCCACTGATCTTGGTTCTTCAATACAAAAGATGACAATGATTACGACTTCATGATTATGAGCCAAGACCTCACTTACTGTGCCAGTCCTCAGCTGCATCTTTCAGACATAGTCAACTTCATTCTTATAACTGCAGAGCTGTCACTGCTGCCATTCAGACTGTGAGCTGTGGAAAGACTAAACTGTTCAAGAACAAAACACTCCTCCAAGGTGGAGCTGAGATTCAAACATGGGCAACCTATGCTTAGAGACAGTGGTAACTGCTCACCATCACACTAGCATGGGGGCACAGATTGACAGCCACTAAGAGGCAGAAGCACGTCCTAACATCACGAATTCTGGGTGCCGGTCACTGGCCTTGCTTGGTCTCTGGACATGTCGAGCACACTATAACTCACACAAACACCAGCTGACAAAAGCGACAAGGCCTCATTATACTACAAGATGTTTTGAGAGGTTGGCCTAACTGCTTTGGACAAAGAGCACTAAGAATTATGACTGATTCTGATCTTAACTCACTCTTGGGAGGCAATAGGGGCAGCAAGTAAATAATCTCAGATATGTAGACAGGGTGAAGACCTCCTTACCTGCTTCCTAAGGCCCCTTTGCTAGATAAGAATGCAGGTCCTCCCAAAAGGCAGCCTCAGGAAAATGGCCCAGCATGGCCCAAGGAGATTCTGTAAGCATCCAGGAAAGACCAGGGCCTTAAGTGATTCAGAGGCAGCAATAGGTGACTTTCCAGACAAACTGTCCATTAGTCTGTCAAGGTGAATGCAATTCTTACCTACTTGAAGGCTGACTACATACAGCCTTCTGAAGAGCCTAGCTAGGCCATCTAAAATAGCCAAGCAGACAAGCACCCGTACCCACATCACTCAGCAGTTCATCTGCACTTGGTTCTACAGACTACTTAAGGTGCACAGAGGAAAGCTGGATAGCAACAAGTGCTCAGGATGCAGAGCTCTAAGGTCTTTCTCTGCTGAGTGAGAGCAATAAGGGACACAAGTCCAGAGCTCCACAGGAACTTGTACTCCCCCTTCAGGCACAGCACACAACCCTGGAGACAACCCTGTAATCAAGCCCTATTTCTGCCACTTTGTAGCAGATCAAGCTGGAGCTTATGTTCCTCTGGTACATGATAATATCCATGTCTACCTGGGAGAAGTCACATCCTGCTTAGGATGCACTGAGCCTGGTGCTCAGGCAGTACATGTCCACCAGCACAGATTGCTCTCATTTCCTCATTGCCCACCTGATAACAGGTGACACACTGAACTCCAGAACCCAGACAGGTCATAACAGGCCCTGCTCCCTTCACTATCTCTCCAAAGTATGACATGTATTTCCAGCAAAGCAGAGGAATCCCAAACAGCAGAGGCCCTAGAATCACAGCACAAGTTTCCTAATCCTAGTTCTTCCTCGGTTCAGTGCCCATCCCTCATGATCAGCAGGATGACAGTGTAAATAGCAGAGGTGAGGCAGCAGTCAAGGGGTAACATAGTGGGGGTGCCTGTGCCTCCCAACATTAATTAATTACATGAGAGCACAGAGGCTCTGGGCAGGCCTGGTGAACTCTGTGCAGAGAACAGCAAGCCAGGGACACATAGAGATTTGTCCATAAGCTGAACACTGCCTTATCCTCAGCCACAGAACCAAGAGGGACATTATCAGACTCAAAGAACCAAAAGCCAGGTGAGGGCTGCCAAAAGGCAAAAATCCTGAACACTGCAATCAGATTCTGCCCAGAGGTGAAGAGGATGGGGAGACATGAGCAGACAGACCCATTTATATTAGTGATGGATGGTACTCTGTCTCTATAAGCCTTTCAAAAAGGGATAAACAGCCTTCCTTGATAGCCCTGCATGCAAATGCACGCTACTGACACTCTACAGGTCCTTTGCCCACCAAGCAAAGAATCTACTCTTGGCGGCATAGCCAGCCAAAGGGCTCCTTCTTATCAACCCACTAAGGCTCAATGGTAGAGTGCTCATCTAACATGCACAACACCCTGGGTTCAATCTCCAGAAACACACACATACAAAGCACACCAGTACATTGCCACAGATCATCGAAGGCTACTGAACGCCAGACACACAATCCTCTAAACAGCCCTCAAGACACCCTGTCCATTCTGAGATAGACATTTAGTTGAATAAACCTAAATAAAGCTGCCAGCTCCTCCCTAACTATAAATGTGGCCCATCCCTGTCTCTTGCCATTGAAAAGGGATCAACAAATTTCCTGTTTCTAAGATACCAACCCAATCAGAAGGAAACACTTGCTTCATGAACAGATCCAGCCTCAAGCTCTACAGAGCCAAAGACATTAGGAAAGAGCAATCTCAGTCAACATAGACTTCAGGATGTGCTTCATCAGTAACAAGGCCAGATAAATAACAATGGCAGAAAACTCAATGGCAGCCACTCTTTGCTATTGGTAATGCTGTGGTACAACATCTGCCCTTCCTAAAGACACAGGTGACCACCTTTGGCTCAGTTCCATCGATATCAGATACAGGATGGTCTACTTCCCCACCCCTCATTCACATAGAACAGTAATTGTAGAGACACAGATGGGAGCCCAAACACAGACTACACAGGCCACCATAAAAACTCTAGGGAGAAGATAGTCCTGCAGGACTTAGCACTCACTGTGTCTTGGAAAAACACTGTGCCAGTGATCATAGAAAGCAGCCATTCAGCCCCAAGACCAGTAGCGTCTTATGGGCAAAAAGCCCTTGTGAAGCCAACCCACAAATGGCCAGCACACAGAATCCCAAGTGAAACTGACCTGGATGACCATCCTGAGGCAGACTGGGGAGGTACTAGGGACCTCACTTCAGCATCCAGAGGTGCCAGTAAGTAGAGCCCACAGTGACCTCTAGTCTACAGAAAGCACTGTGCATGTCCACAGGACTCCCTGAACTCACCTTTCCTAGGGCAGCTGCATTGACCCTGGGAACACAGGAGTCCTCAGACAGGGGCAGAGGACAGGAGTCACAGGGACTGCCTACTACCAGGACAGGCTACTCCCTGAGACTCCACCCCCAACTAACCCAAAAGACACTAGTCTGACTGTTATTTGTCAAAGCAGAGAAGTACAGAAAACACCTCACTGTTAGCAAACAAGTTTCCTTTCCCTTAATAGTGCATTCTGTTTCATAGAGTAAAATGAAGGGGATTGCCAGGCTCTGCTTCCAAATCACTCCCCATCCCCGTTTCATCTGACAGTGCTTTTGAAAGCAAAAAGCAATCTTTATCATTTGGGCTTTTTAAAGCAAACTGATTTGATTATGTCCAACATAACCAGCTGCTTCTAAAAGCCAATTTTCAAAGTGACATCAGCCACCAAAATAAGAAACCCTTCCTTCTGGCTACTAATAAATTATTAAACCACTATCTCCACAGGAGAATGAGGCTTCCGCCTGATAAGCAGGCTGGCTCTGAGCATTCCTCACAGACCTGCCCATCCCCAGGTCAGTCTGTGCAGGGCTCTCTCTTTCTCTCTTACTGTAACCATGCAGCTTCTCCCTATGGCCCTAGGTACTGAATGAGCCTGATCCCACACAGCAATCCTCATGGCCCAGGTAATCTGAGGATCAGGAGTAAATGTGAGGCACCCAGTGTGTGTCAGTTGAAAAGTGATGTTGGCAGCCAGGCACTGGTGGCTCACACCTGTAATCCCAGCTACTCGGGAGGTTGAGATCTGAGGATCACAGTTCAAAGCCAGCCTGGGCAGTAAAGTCCGTCAGACTCTCATCTCCAATAAACCATCAGAAAATCAGAAGTGGCGCTGTGGCTCAAGTGGTAGAGCACTAGCATGAGCTAAAGAGCTCAGGGAAGCATCCAGGCACAGAGTTCAAGCCCCATGACAAAAAAAAAAAAAAAAAAAAAAAAGTGGTGTTGGCAAAGACACCATACACGTGGTGTTCAGAGGAAACACCTAATGGCAGGCCTGAATGGTTCTATAGCCACCCACCTCTGAACCCCTGCTAGGCTAGAAAACAAGTCTGCCTGCTGCTCAAGTCTGCTGGGGAAGATCCTGTCACCTAAAATCAGAGGCACCAGACAGCTGGAACACTTGTGTCTGTGAAGACACCACATGTACCCCAGGGGCCAGGTTTCTACTCCGGGCTGTCACAAAGACAAGAATGCTCAGTGATAAGCAGGGACACCTGAACCAGGAAGCCAACAAGCAGGTACCCAAGATGAAACTGAGGCCTTCAAGCTTCATTTTACCACCTTGTTATGAGAACATGGATAACATCCACCAGTCCTCAGCTCCCCAACCACTAACTCAGACCAGGGCAGATTCAGCTGCTATGAAGCACAGCCATTCCCAAGAATCACTGTATACAAGTATAGGGAGATGAGCCTAGGAGAAGCCCTAAGGTCAAAAAGGGTACTATCTCCAAAGGACTGAGGCAGCCCTGGGGACTCTAACCAGTTCTGACAAGAGCTATTACAAATGCCCTGCCCTCTTCCTTCTCTAACTTCCTACAGGGTGGGGTGCTTTTTTTGCCCACAAGAGCCCCCCTCCATCCTAGGAAATCCCCAACAGAGCCAAGCTGATGCTAGACCAGGCCGTTCCAAAAGTGTGAGCTAAATAAACCTCTACTTTAAGAAGTACCCAGCCTCAGGTACTTCATGATAGTAACAAAAGACAGCTTGAGACACTGAAAGATCTAGAGGGGTACACACTATCTCCTCCCAACAGCCCAGGGCAATGAATCCCCATACACATCCCAAGTGAGCAGTCTACCTGGTGGTGATGGTGTTGTTCTTCTCCCTCAGGGATAACTCCCGCTGCTGCAGCTCCACCACAAATCGGGAAAGGTCTTCTGGAGTCCTGAGGGAGGAAGAACACTGAACACTCAGTCCCATCTGTCCCTGGAAGTGGACCTAATCCTACACCCAAGACAGAACCAAAGCCATAGCAGCCACTGACCACTCAGACCAGGATAAGTAAGGTCATACGCATTCAAACTACCAGGGTCCAACCACAGCCCACCCCAGCTACACACCAGTTCTGGCCTAGTTCCCCAGCTATACAAGGTTACTTTCATGAGGTCACTTTATTCCACCTGTAAAATCAGAAACACCACATAACAAATAATGTCACTTTGCCAAAGACATGACATATAATATCATCACCCCATGCCTGGCACGAGGCAGTATCACTGCTACCTTGTTCCAGGACTTAGCTCCTCCCTCACTTCTCTAAAGCAGCCATGTGCAGCAGCACAGGAAGGAGCAATAGCAGAGCACCGTAAATGTGCTGTGCCATTAAAACTATTCACACTCTCCCCTTTACTCTTTTCACCCTACAATGAGGAAACTGAAGCCTGAAGACATTGCTTGGTAATGTAAAGTCCACTCCATCCATGAGTGCAAGCATGCTCAGTGTGAACTTTATCCTCTGACTAGTGCTGCAGCAAGACATATACCCAGAATGTCCTGAACTGACAAGTAGTGTGAAAATGATCAACCACATGTGGGCTCTCGGCATGGCTTGAGGCTGAGGATGACTTCTGCTTTCCTCACCATCCATCACAGCAGTGGGCACAGGGAACACAGAAGGCAAGTTCAGGGCCATGTGGTGGAGAGCTGCCCACAGGAGCCCCCACTGCTTCATTGACTGAGTGACAGGGGTATTTGCACACACCATTCTACAAGGAGGATCTTGTGTCACACTATGAGACAGTGCTGCAGACTATTCTCCTGCTTGCCTTGTGGGCTCTGCTGCTGTCCTCAGGCCAATACAGCTGTCAGGTAGGGAACACTGACGTGCCACTGAAAGGTCATTCATCTATCTGAGGAGAACTAGGGTCCTATGGGCAGGGCCCTGGCAAGCACTGGCACAGAGTAGCCATCTCAACCCACTGCCAGATGCATGCTGCTATGGGCCCAACTCTCTTCTCCAGATTGCTGTGCTGAAGCCCCAACTCCAAGGGATGGACTTGGAGATGGGGCTCTGGCAGGTGATTAGGGTAGGTGGGGTCAGGAAGGTAACATCCCCATGCCAGAATCAGTGCCCTGGTAAGAACACAGTGTGCAAGACAAGAGAACTGACCTCAGAGGTTCTGTCTCCAGAACAATGGAAGAGAGCTACTGCAGAAGGATCATGCGCATGAACAGTTACAAAGGATGTTCAGCAAAGGGCTCAGTCACAGAGAGAATGATTCCATGTACCAAAGCTGCTTCACAAGTGCACATCTTAAATACACAGGAATGCAGTACCAAGGACGTTCTTATGTTATATGTCCTAGGGCTTAGCAGTAGAGCACTTGAGTTTGATCCCCAGCACCACTAAAACAATAATAATAATAGTAGTAGTAGTAGTAGTAACAACAACAACAACAATAAAGGAACACACTTCAGACAACAGTGCCCCAATTATATCCTGGGCTCACCTCTATGTCAGAGCTGGGATCAGAGGTGGCAATCAAGGAGCTTTAACTTCAGGTGTACTACGTAAACTTATAATGAGGATGTATACTTCATATGTATAAATAAAGCCTAAAACAACTTAGTAGGGGGCAAGCTAATGAGGGGAGTAAGTTACTGGAACCTCTCCCTCTTACAAGATAATGCACCTGGCACAGTCCAGCAACAAGCACAGGCACCAGGACATAAGGAGCAGGGCATGTGGAAAAGGAAGAGAGGGAAGCCTGGTATTCAGGAACCAGGCTCAGCTGTGCTGGAGAGAGCATGGTGGTCAGCTGTTGGTGGCCCATCCTGAACACTGAGCTGGCATGGGTATAGAGAAGAGGCCTGAGGAGCTGGGAGTCCTGGAGTATCAATACACCTGCACAGTCCTCTCCACATCACAAACACAGGGTCAGCATACCTCCAACAGGCACAAAGTGTTTATTTTCTAGAAGCAGACCTGAGTGTGGGTAAAGCTACTCAGAGATGCTTACCCAGGGCACTGTGGGGATTAGCTAAGTGCTTGTAACTGGACGGAGTCATGCCAAGTGCCATTACAGACTAAAAATACCGGCAACGTCCACCCTGAAACCTACACTTCACAACTACAAAGTGGAAGCATTTGGGGCCTTGGGAGCCTCCAACATGGATGACAGGAGAGTGACAGTTCCAACTGCAGCCCAAGCTGTGACATCTGCTGCAGAACACTGGCCTCAGCTGCGAGGCCTTTCACGTTCTAACTGGGGGCTTTCAGGGAGAGAAGTTCTTTTGTTCCACATACAGCTGAATTTTGACTCAAACTCAGCTGTGTGCAGAATGCAATGGGCTATGGGACCAAGCCCACCCGTTTCTTCCTAAGCCCAAGCTGAAGCTATTTTGAGTCCTTTTTGCAGATGCCCTGGCTCTTGCTGAAGCCCTCAGTGCCAGTTTCAACAAGTCTGAAAGACACTAGGATCCAGAGGATGCCAGCATCAAGCATGAATGAAACAGGACCGTCACAGAACCAATTAGTAAATGACAGACCTCTAGCTTTCTTCGAAGGTGTCATTGTTTGCAAAGAATAGGAATCCACAGGATTAAGACCACAGGCCAAACTGCTCTGGTTTGGCTTCCGCCAGGGCCCAACCAGAAGGAAGAGAACACAAAAGCAATATGGTTCATTGTTTTTGCAAAAAGAATGCCAAAATTGGAACAGAAAACACTGGACAGCAAAAATGTACTAAAAGCCAAAGAATGGCCTGCATTCACAGCTAAAAAGCCAAAGGGCAGCCCGGGCTTCTCCCGGTAATGTAACAACCTGCGTAGAAAGGTGCTGTGCAGGTCCCCAGCAATGAGAAGCAGAGGCACCAGCAGAGTGCCTTGGAGGGAGGAGAGATTAGTACATACTAACTCCACTGGGCAGTAAACTTGCCCTGGAACAGGCATTGATTGGGAGGTTTCCCTACAATGGCTGTGCCTGCTATCCCCAGTCTTGAGGCCATAGAACAGTATGTTCAAAACTGGAATGGCCACAGTCACTCAGCTTCAGGGGACTCGTGGAAAACACCAATCCATCTCATCATCACAGCTCTATAACATACTGGCCATGGAACAGAAAGCTACATTTATCCATCTACCCTACAGAGCCGCCTATTGCCTGTGTCCAAATACGCAGACAGAAAGTCACTTTTGGGCTGGGAATGTGGCTTAGTGGTAGAGTGCTTGCCTAGCATGCATGAAGCCCTGGGTGTGATTCCTCAGTACCACATCAACAGAAAAAGCCAGAAGTGGCATTGTGGCTCAAGTGGTAGAGTGCTAGCCTTGAGCAAAAGAAGCTCAGGGACAGTGCCCAGGCCCTGACTTCAAACCCCAGGACTGGCACCAAAAAAAAAGTCACTTTCCCTGGGGAGGGGAAGGCAGGGCTGACTGCTGTCTGAGGCATGGTGATCTGGTGATCTGCTCTACAGCCCTCCCCATACACCAGAGTCCCGACAGAAGTGTAGAACAAGCAGGACCCATCATAGAACAGCCTTTCTTCACAGCCAATGACCATTTCCACATAGAAATATCTGGCCTAGGGCTGGGAAGGTGGCTCAGTGGTAGAGCGCTTGCCTTTCATGCCTGAGGCTCTGGATTCGATTCCTCAGCACCACATAAGCAAAAAGAAAAAAGCCGGAAGTGGTGCTGTGGCTCAAGTGGTAGAGGGCTAGCCTTGAGCTGAAGAGCTAAGGAACAGCACCCAGGCCCAGAGTTTAGGCCCCACGACCGGACCCAAAAAAAAAAAGAAAAAGAAAAAGAAATATCTGGTCTAGCCAGACACTGGTAGCTCCCACCTGTAATCCTAGTTATTCTGGAGGCTTAGATCTGAGGATCATGGTTCAAAGCCAGCCTGGGCAGAAAAGTCCATGAGGCTCTTATCTCCAATAAACTACAAAAAGCCAGAAGTTGAGCTGTGAGCTGGACTCAAGTGGAACACAAAAGCTTAGAGATAGTACTCAAGCCCCAGGACTGGGAGAGGGTCAAGAAGGCAGATCCACTATCTCAAATAGCCCTTGGCCAGAGCCAAGCTCCCAACTACACATCCTTTCCTACAAAAAGTCTCTCCCTAGGCCTCCACAGAACTCCCTCTCTCATCCATCTGTAAGTCTCCATTCAAAAGAATCTGGGTTTTCAGTTGGGCTTGCCCCAACCACCCTATCTTGAACCATAACCACTATCACCCTGCCCACCCATCACCTAAGTCCTCGTCCCCTGCTGGCCCTCCATGGATCCTGCCGCTACTCAGTCCACCCTCACAGATACCATGTGTGTTACATTTTCCTATGACCAATTATTGCACAGCAATCTAGCCATAATCATTTATTATATCCTTAAATGATGTTCAATAATGTAGAACACACAAATAATCTACACTATAAAAAAGAAAATAATGTCAATAAAGGATTCTTATTAAAAAAAAATCAGGACTGACAATGACTATAAGAATTGATTAAGAGGGGAATCAAATTAAATACTTTAAACAATGCTTCCCTAGGCAGCAAATTTCTTATTTAAAAAAATGGGTCCACATACTCAAGGTTCATCTTTAACTCTTTATATAAGCCACATACATGAAACATAATTTGTGATATTTAGCTTTGGTTCTTCAGAACAGATACCTGCAATCTTCCTAAATTTTGCAACTTTTCATCTTTTACAATTTGCCTTCTTAACAATTTCCTTTGAATCTTCCAAAGCATTCAGTCTTCACAGAAATGCCAATTGCTTTTTTTTTCTTTTTTCTTTTTTTGGGGTGCAGGGGGTAATGAACTCAGGGCCTCATACTTGCCAGGCAGGTTGTGTACCACATGAGTCAATCCTCCAGCTGTTTTTGTTTTAGCTATTTCTTTTCAGATAGTGTTTCCTACTTCTTGCCTATGGACAGTGATCCTGCTACCTACA